CCCACACTTTTAATGGAAGAGGACTTTTTAAGCATTTCTGGTGAAAAGACTAGAGCTGAATAGAAACTTTGAAATACAAACCAAATCCAAAGAAACCTAGAAAGGAAATTTAGTTAAGCAACTGGAAGGATTTAGACGATGCAGTGTTAGCATTTTGATAGGGGGAATGGAAACAAGTGTCCCTTCAGAACATCAACGTCTTCAAAGCAGATCAAGAGGGTTAAAAGACAAAAACTCATCGTGGGAGTGGATTGATTCTGTTTTGAGGGTTCCAAAAGAGAAGAAAGGGAAAGGAAGGTAAAAGGAAAAATACATCAGTGTAACAAGGAGGAAGTGGTGAAAATTGGGGTAAGAAAAGTATACAAACACGAAGAAGTGAGGACAGGGGTCATCAGATGAACCTCACCTAACAGGGAAAAAAAAAAGACTGAATACACACTCACAAGGCTTGGTGCAGAAATCATTAAACTCAATAAGAAACAATAGATAAGAGTGTTCAGGGGAAGGTTAAATGTTGGGGAAGGAATAGTCAAAAGTAAAATAAACTCCTGATGCATGAGAGGGACCAAAAAGGGAAGCAAAGAACTAGACTCTAAGAAGGTGCCTTAGATCAGTAGTGTAAAACTAAAAAAGAAAGCATTCCCTACTGACCACATATTGACTAAAACCACCCCCACAAACTAACATTATCTCTGTTGTACTATACTTTTATTTTGTTAAACATTTTCTAATTACATTTTAATCTGGTTCAGGCAGCTTGGGAGTTTTGCAGCCACTGAGGATCCCCAGGCCAAAAGTTTGACACCTCTGCTTTAGATTTCCTTTATACAATTAAGGAATGGCTGAATAAATTGTGGTATATGAATTTAATGATTATTGTTCTATAAGAAATTACACAAGGAATAGTTTCAGATTCCTGGGTGCAGAGTAAAGGGAGAAGAACCAGCAGAACAATTTAAACAAGGACAGATATTACAAAGGAATACAACTTTGAAGGACTTAAGAACTCTGTCCAATACAATGAACAGCCACGTCTCCAGACCTATGATGAAGCATGTTTGTTACCTACTTACCAGCAGGTAACGGATTCAAAAATGCAGACTTTTTTTTTTTTTAATAGACTTGTTTTGCTTGACCATGTTTATTGGGGCTTTTTTTAATAAGAGTTTTTTTTTCTTTCCCTTTTTGTTTCTTTGGCTAATGTGGTGGTGGGAGGAAACTCATGGGCATAGAGGTTTAGCAATAGGGATGCCAAAAAAAGGCCTTTGTAATATTTTTTTTAAACGTAGAGAACAGAAAGAAGTTCAGAAGCACAGATAAGGGAAGTTCTGAAAATTTTAAATTTATTATACACTTTTTTAAAAAAGCAAGAAGATTCATGGTTTCATATAAATCCCCCTTTTTGTGTTCTGCTGTGTATGGAAATTTTTTTTTTGTTAAGGTCAGAATTTATTTAAATTAAAAAGGATTAGATTTGCTCTTTGCCTCAGAGGGATGAACTGGGCCCAGTGAGAATTTCATAAGGCAGATTTTGGGTCCCTTTATGGAAAAACTTCTTAGCAATTAGAGCTATCTGAAAGTTGAATACATTACCTTAGGAGGTAGTCAGTTCTCTCTCACGGGTTTTCAAGCAAAAGTTAAAAGACTGCTGGTTGAGAATTTTGTAGAAAAGGTTTCTTAATCAGGTATGAATTGAATTAAATAGCCTGGGGTCCCCTTCAACTTTTAGGTTCTATGATTCTGATGTCATGTCCAAATGCCATGAACCCAGCTCTTAGCACCTATGTATATCCCAATTCATTACTTAATTGACTTAGGGTAATTTATAATGGCTCTTGTTGGCCCTTGCAGATAAGTCAAATATTCATTAGATCATAACTCTAGTTAACTTTATTTCCATAATTGAGAACACCATTTAAACCAGGGATCAGCAAGTTCTTAGACAAGTACTATGCCAAGTTGCCATTAACTTACTCCTTTATGAGTTTTAACTAGCGCTTATCAGTTTAAGGAGGTGGGCTCTGATCTCAGATTCTACTACTTGGCTTTTCTCTAAAACTGTGTCCAGTCACTGTGACCAGGAAAGGGAATAGATATATCCCAAAATATCAACCCCACTGCTTGTCATTCCACTATTATAGTCTCATACCACTGGTTCTAAAACTTTTCCAAATCTGAACCTTTAAAGATGTACATGTCCTCTTGTCACAAGCTTCTCTTCCCCACCCCCCATCGCTCCTTAAGGTATTACCAGAAAGGGTTCATTGACACAAGGCTGAGATTAAGAATGGGATAAAGGATAGGTCAGAATAGGCTTGGAACACTGAATGAGCAAGAGGAAGGAAAGTGATTCTGAAATGGGAGAAAGCACTGAAAACAATTTTTGCCTGGGCTGCTCTTTATACTGATGTCTGGTTTTTGAACCAGTGTATCTCACCTTGTTCACTCTGACCTCCTTTACCAATATATTGACATTTTTTGCTTGTTTTTTTTAAAAAATATCTCCACTTCTGTAGCTCTTAACATTGTAGGTTTTAAGAGGGACAGACATCTTTTGAGGATGGGGAAAGATTAAGATAAATGGCTTCTATGATTCTAAACTGTAGAATTTGGATTCTGGATTTTATGCTCATAATATAGCTATAGCATATCACAATGCAAATTCACAATGAGAAGGCCCTTATCACCTACACATAATTTTTAGTCATTTCTCAGAATGATCTCCACATGGCCTACATTCTGCACTGGGTTGTGAAGAAAGTGCCTTGTAAATCTCAAACTATATAAATGAGCTATTATTATTCCAACAAAATTGAATTTCTTGCTATTCCCTAATCTCATTCAATACTTTCATAACTATGTGCTTTTGCTCATATCCTATCTCATGTCTGAGACTAACTCTATCCCTTAGGCCCATAGCTGAAATCCTTCAAGACTCAGGAACCACCTCTGCCATGAAACTTTCTCAGATAGACCCCTCGAGAAATGGTCTCATAGACTTGAACCCCTCCTTTGTACTAAGTCACATTCATCTGTATTATAGTTAGTTATAGTATCATCTTCTCCACCTGATTCTAAAGTCCTTGAGGGAAAGTCTAATTTTTATTTCATCTTTGTACAGTTCACAATCAGAATGGTGCAGTACATATACAGATGCTTGACAAATGGTTAAGGAGCTCCATTTTAAATTAACAAAATAGTTGAGGGCCAAATCTTAGAGAGATTGGGAAAAAAAATTTAAGTACTAAAGCTTCTATTTAAAACAAAAAAAGAGGTGCCACAAAGATTAGGTTGAAATTTTAACGCAATTCTGTGATATTGTTGGGAAAATTTTCTTTGTTGTTTCTCGATAGCAAGAATTTTTGAGTTGTAGTATATACAAAAATATCCCCAAAATATCACCATTGAAAGGTCAGATTTCCGTACGGGGGACTTTGGTTAAGGGTTTTTCTTCGGTGAGATTTGGGGCAGGCCGTTATTACCTGGAGGACGAGAAACGGGACCCATTTGGCCAGCTGGCTCTCCCTTACGGTATTTGGGGCAAGTGTGTGCACTACTGTTCTTGGAAGGTGGGAGGCCGAGGCAGGCCTGGGGAGCCTCTCCCCCACCAGGTAAGCAAGGCAGCCCACCAAGCGGGGAGGTACGAAATCCAGTTCGGCCATTAAGCTCCCCCCTTACCTACCCCGCTCCCTCTGGGCGTGGGGGCACAGGGGCGCTAGGCTTGGCACCTTTCCCCACAGGGATGTTTACCGCACACAATAGGGCGACTCTACGAGAGTCAGCCCCCCAAACCTTCCCGACGGGGCCTGGCCCCACCTCGCTGGGGCGAGCTCCCCGACGCCAGCCCGGAGCCCCCGGCTCCATCCGGGTGTCTGGCCCCCTCGACGGGCACGGGGCGCCTGAAGAGAAAGAGCAGGGCCCGGGGCGTAGACTGATGGCTGGTCACAAACAAGCCCCGCGATCCCCTCCCCCAGGCCCGGGATCCGCCTGCCGCTGGGGCCCGGCCCTGGGGAGCCTGACTCCTCCCGCGACAGCGGCAGTTGCCCTGCCCCCCCCTTCCCTGTGTGCCTGCCCCGCTCCGCTCCCCCCCTCGTCACCCGCCTCCCAGGGCCGCCCGGGCTGCGCTCAGGGAAGGGGGAGGGGTTGAGGTAGGCTCAGCCCAGCCTCCATTTTCCCCCGACCCCCATCACCTCCAACAGCCAAGGAGAGAAGCCGCCTGGCCCCGCCGCGCAGGCTCACATCCCTGGCCGGCCCCAGCGCGCCTCCCCTCCCCCACCCGGCCTCCCCTTTCCGCCCCTTTCCGCCCCTTCCCGAAGCCCGCCTCCGCGCCTGCCCACCAGCCCGCTTGCTCTCTCGCTAGCTCTCGCGCGCACCCGGGCACCTCGCCTCCGCGCGTGCTCAATAACTGTCCCCCGAGCCGACCGTCCCACTTCCCCCGCCCCTCTGCTGTTTGAATATTCTAATGAGGGAACAGTCTACAGCCTATGGAAGAGCGGGGCGGCGCGTCACATGACACGGGGACGTGTCAGGGGGGCGGAGCCCGAGCAGCCCCTGCCCGAGTTAAAACCGGAGTGTGAGAGAGAAAAGCGCTTCAGTAGCGAGAGGGGCCGAGAAAGTGGTGACACCGCCGGGGAGCGGGGGGAGTCCCTGAAACTTCTCCCAACAGCCCCAGGGCCAATTTCCCCCCCCCTCAGCCCAACCCCCTCTTCGCCAGCTCCCAAGTCCCCACTCCCTGCGCCGGGGGTGGGGTGGGGAGCCAGGCCCGTCTCCCGCTGGGACACACACAGGGGCCGGGAGCGGGGACGGGACCCCCGAGGCGGGTGGACGGACGGACGGACGGGCAGGCAGGCGGACAGACAGACGGCCGGGCGCCCGGCCCAGCAGGCAGGCAGAAGGAGGTGGGGGTCTGGAGGGGCGGCCGGGGGCGAGGGGAGTTTCCTCTCAACTATCAAGGGGAGAAACTCCCCTCAGCCGGAGGAGAGACCCCGACCGTGTTTTCCTCCCGGGGGCCGCGCTCCCCCGCCCCACGTAGCGGCGGCCGCTGCTGCCGCCGCCTCCACCTCCTCCACCAGCTCCACCACCACCACCATCTCCTCCTCCTCTTCCTCCACCACCTCGGGCCCCGGTGTCCCCGGCCAGCACTATGCCCATCTTACTGTTCCTGATAGACACGTCCGCCTCTATGAACCAGCGCAGCCATCTGGGCACCACCTACCTGGACACGGCCAAAGGCGCGGTAGAGACCTTCATGAAGGTACCGACTGACCGAGCCCGGTGGCAAACACGGCCGGGGCGGACCCGGGGAGCGGACGAGGAAGGGGTGGGGGGGTGGCGAGGGTGTGGGGGAGACCCGGCTGCGGGAACAGTCAGGCGTGGGGACCCCCCCTCTCCCGCCACCACCGCGGGCGAGCGGGCGGGCGCTGGAGATCCGGGGTCGGGCGGGGGGCTCCGGGCACAGTCGGGAGCCGGAGAGTGTTGGGGGGGGGCGGGGTGGACCCTGCGTGTGTGCTGCACGGTGGGGAACCGGGTGTGCTCGGTTTGCCTGCGAAGATGCCCCGTAACCCAGGCTGTGTGCTTCCTTCCCCCTGCCCGCCCTGTTCTCTCTCTCTTCCCCCCCCTTCTCCCGCTTCCTCGCAGCTCCGTGCCCGGGATCCAGCCAGCAGAGGAGACAGGTATATGCTGGTCACTTTCGAAGAGCCTCCCTATGCTATTAAGGTAATAGCCCCCGCCCTCCCTGCCTCCTTCTCTCTCTTCGCTCTCTCGCCGGAGCCTTGCCTTGCCTTCCCTTCCTTATTCCTTCCTCTCTCGCCCTGCTCCCCCTCCCCCCTCCCCATTCACCCTTCATTATGCTCCCCTCCCCCATCCGCCGTGGCTTCGGGCCCTTTTCCCCCGTCGTTTTTTCTTCCCGTCTCTCGGCCCCCGCGCTCCCCCCCCTGCCCTCGATACTTCTGGGGCCGAGAGAAGAGGAGCGGCCGCGGCCGCGACCTCCTTCACGCCGCCCGGATCGCCCGGATCGGGCAGCCCGCGGCGGCGGCGGCGCTGCTATCAACATGGCCGACATTTCCCCCAGTGTGGTGTGAGCGGCAGCGGCAGCAAGGCACTGTGGGGGATATTTATTCAAGTTAGAGAAGTGACAGCGGCGGCGGCGGCAGCAACTCGAGCTCAAGTTTTGCATTAAAGGGAAATCGGGTCTCGAGCTGCTCCTAGGAACCTGCGTGTCCGCTCCGATCCCCGTCGGGCCGCGGCGGGGCACTGCCCGGGAGCCCGATGGAGCCCGCTTCTGTCTTTGGAAGTTTGGGGGGAGAGAGCAGGGAGCGCATCAGACCTTCTTTCCGAGAGAGAGCGTTCCGAAGCCGCAGCGCCCCAAATGAATGCCCCGGGGACGCGGTCCAGCCTTCCCTGGGGGGTTGGGGGTCGCATTCCTCCCGGCTCCAGGCAGAGGCCTGGGGAGGTGGGGAGGGTTTTGTTGGGTTTGCCCACTGGTGTGCTCGGTGAACAACTGAAACCGAGGCGTAAAGCAAGCAGAGCAGCTGTCTGGAGCAACCCACTGAGGGCTGTCCTTGTGTACCTGCCTGCCTTTCATAGTTGAAAAATAAACAATTCTGCATTTCTCTTTTCAGGCTGGATGGAAAGAAAACCACGCCACGTTTATGAATGAACTGAAAAACCTTCAAGCTGAAGGACTTACGACTCTTGGCCAATCCCTAAGGACAGCTTTTGATTTATTAAATTTAAATAGATTAGTAACTGGCATAGACAACTATGGGCAGGTAGGTTGAATGTTAAAGTGGGGAAACTAGTTCATTTTCCTTTTTTCTGAAGAAACAGTTCCAGTTCAAAGACTTCATAAGATAACATTTTAAATGTACCTACTCTCAAAGCAGATTTGACTGGGTGTGGAGGGGAACGAACATACACATGTTAGGGGCATCCTAAGAATAGTTTTGTCCCCTCATGTTCTTGAGGAAGCATTTGTTTTCGGAACTTCAGTTCCTTATTTAATAAGCTGACATTTTACTGCCCTAATACAGTTTAAGAATACTGAAATTAATTTGTGATTGAGAGAAGAAACATCTGTGTTAGGTCCTAATCTCACCTGCTTACTGTAGTGCTCTGCTGCAATCATGTGTACAACCATTGTGCGGACTCTGAGGCACAGGCATTATTAGGTGTTTAGTGGCTTTCTTCATTCTGTTAGTTAATAAAAGAAAAAAAAAAGATAGGGAGTCGGATCTCTCCTGCACCAGTGCTTATCCATTCCATGTATGTCACTTGTCTGAAGGCTGAGAAAAGTACACTCCCCTCTAAGTGCAGAAATCTCAAACAACCTCTTGAATACGTTAGAATTTCTAAACTTCTTTTTGAAGGATCCAGAATTGACTTCTACTGGTTTTAATGAGCTAAAATGTTAGGTCCAGAGGTCAAAAGGCTTTTGCTCTTTCCTAAGAGCTTTTTTTTTTTTTTTTTTTTGGTTAATATGAAAACATTCAACCCCTTGGGTTTCTCTGGAAGCTATGAAAGAACCCTTAACCCCTAAGTCCCTGTATTACAGCTGCTGCTCATCAATTTGAGGATCAGACAAGACCTTTTTTGGAGCCTGGCAACACCATTCTCTAATCAGCGTGATGGTTGGATATGGAGTAATCAAGTTGCTCCATTAAAACATTCCATGAGACTGCTGGCCTGAGAAATAAAAGATCTGCCTAAGACCCGAGAGGTTCAGTTGTTACCTGGAAGTGCATTCCACTCCTACCACAGGGATCTGTTAGAGTTAAATATCTGCCTTTGCTCCATTCAGCTCCCATGAACCATGACTGCCAGTTAGTAGGACTGTTCTCTCCCACTTTGCTTCTTACAAACTAAATTTGCTCTAGGAGAAGCAGCATACCTGAATTCAGTTGAGATAACTATATTTTTTAGTATCTCCATAGGGAAAAGTGATAAGCATTTATTACAAGGCTACTATGCTAATTAGTGAGAAGATCAACCTGAAAATGAATTTTGACAACATAGCCTTTGATGTCACGTACTGTTTCAGAATCCTTTCTTTACCTAGCTGTGTTAGTGTTGTCCTCTTGTATCTCTGTTTTTTCTTTTTATATCTGTTCTAGTCTAGTCTCTTCTCTGCTCCCCATCCCCAGCTTCCCAGTTCACTTTCTGCCAGCTCTCTTCAGTTAAAAACTCCTCTTTGGCCAGGGAGTTTGTAAGTTTGTCATTGGTGCTGTGAAAGGGTAATGGATTTTCTTTTTTGCTTTCTTATGTGGTAGTATATAAATAACATGCTCTTTCACGGACTCAATTCATCTAATTTGAATATATCACCCCCTGTTACAGGTTTTAAAGTTGTTAGTTTGTGAAAAACTATGAGATCTCTTATTCATCACATTTCATCAATTCAAATGATTAAGTTATTTGAATATTAAGTTTCTTGTATGTAAGAAATAGACTAATGGTGTGGAAGGACTTGTTCATTTTCTGTCTTTCTGTTTCCAGATAGAAACTTTTGACTGGAACACACTAGCATTTAAACTCAAACCTGATAAAAAGTTTTTGCAGTATGATGGTCCTGCTGAATATGACATAACTAGGATAGGGCAAGAACCCTTGAGGCGTTTCCAGTTTTGGCATGTCTGAATTTTATAGAGATATAGGGGATTGATGTAGTTGAGTACTACAGCTCTAGTCGTATTTTGAAGAATAAGTATGAATTTAGAGCGCTGAAGTGCTCGTACTTCAGCTGCTTCATCATGATGTGAAGGTCAGCTTGGCCTCAGCAGTAATGCCAGTTTGATCATAAGCTGTGGCAGGTCCTATCAAGCTTGAAAGACTTTTGACTGCTAGCCAAGTGATGGGACTATATTTCCAGTTTCTGAAAGCCATCCTTAAGTTCAGAGAGCCATCACTAGAAAGTTGGCCACTAAATGGTGAATTTTTTTTGTGCCACGTCAGCTCAAGAAGACAAACCTGATGAGGCTTTATAATACCCATCTAAGTTATGGAGGGTGTCTCCCTGTTGATGAAATGAATCCTGGAGTTTTGAACTAAGCTTGGATTTAAGTTTATATAAATGCTTTTAAGTGCTATACTGGTACAGGAAAAAATTAAGACATTTATATTCAAGTAGCTGAAAAAAATTTCTCAAATGAAAGCTTACATAATTGTCAATTTGAAGTAGTAATGAACTAAATAAAATAACCTCAAAAGATTCAGGTACATTTAAATCCTGATATAAATACTTAAGACTAGACAAGTAAAGTTTCTAGGTTTCCTTTTTGCCCAGGTACCTTTGTTATGCCTGAAGTCAAGTGGGCCCAAGGAAATTCTGAGGGACCTTTGTCAACCATGGAGAAATTCTAAGATTCTTGCAACTCTAGCAAATCTTAAATTAGGCGGGTGTATAAATAGTCTTAACTAGATAAAGTATGGGAAAATAATAAGTAAGCTGAGAGATCTTAGATGGTAAAGTCCATTATGAAATATTTTCTCATTCCTATATATCTGTTAAACTTCTGGTGTTTTACTTTTCTCTTTTTTTTTTTTTTTTTTGGCTAGGCAATGGAGTTAAGTGACTTGCTCAAGGTCACACAGCTAGTAAATGTTACGTGTCTGAGGCCAATTTGAACTCAGGTCCTCCAGGGCTGGTGCTCTGTTCACTGTGCCACCCAGCTGCCCATTTTACTTTTCTCTTAAACTGGATATACAAATGAATAGGATTTTGAGCTAGAAGAGATCTTTGGGATCATCTTTTTTCCAAGCTTATTTTACAGATGAGCAACATCGACCCCAAAATGAGCTGTGATGGTATCAGAATTCTAACGTGTTTTTGGATAACAAAGCCAGTGCTTGTATATGTGCACATATACATTCAAGCAAAAATGTGCTATAACTTAATGTGTGACTTGAACCAAAAAACTGCTGGAAAGTTTTTTTTCACCACTACTCATTTTGCCTTACTGGAAAATCTTTTAGTAAAACAAGTTAACAAGTAAAAAACAAATAAAACACCTTTTTTGGTGTTGACCATTGGCATAATCTGCAGACAAATATTATGGAATTGAAGCTATTAAGGGAAGGTGAAAGGTTTCTTGTTAATAGTCCCTGAAAACACGTCTGCCCAACCTTCTGCAATAATATGTACCAAGCACCACTACCATCCACAATTGAATGTACTCAATTAAAAAGTATTCAGTCAATCAGTGAATATATTTTTCAGTTCAGGTATTTTTCTCCAAATAGAAACTAGTGTGATATCCAAATTTTACTTGTCTAGTTATAGCGACATCTTAACTGAAAGTGTAATGACACTACATATACACTTAAGCATCTTACCATTAAATTACTTTTGGAGATCAATTTTAAACTAAAATATTAAAAAATATGCTTTCAAAGGATGCACTTTATATACGCCCATTAAAGATCTGAATGAATCTCTGCCTTTATGTATGAAATTAGGACATGTTTAAGTTAAAGTGTACTTTAGTTCCTAATTTTCCAGTTCCTTGTGTCCTTAGTTAGTGAAACATTGTAAAAAGAATTTCTAAGCTATATTTAGCTTTTCATCCTTTATTTTGAGGCTATTCTCATCTGAAACTTGACATTTTTATCTCTGACTTGCTGTCTTTTTTTCATTCCCTTAACTAGTGACATAAAATTAGTGTGTTCATATGGCATGTAAAATATGCCTGCATAACTATTACACTATTAAAAGGGTAATGCTTACCCTTTATTCAATGGGTAATTTTAAAAATTAATGTGTTTTGTAGTGGATGGAGTCTCTGGTCAGCCTTGGAAATGGGATGACCCAGGTTCAAATTTTACCTCTAATCCATATTGTAGGAAATCTTTAACCTCACTTTGTATCCAAGAAGCTCTCATTACTACATAAATTATAGGTGCATCCTCGGTGGAGGAAGTTTGTTCACTGTAGAAATTACAGGTCATTTTTAAAAAAAATTACTTTTTATAAGCTTTGATAGCCCTATTTTTTTATATGAACCAATTATAATCTTGAATGCCTAGTTATTTTAATTGTTCAAGCATTTAGTTGAAGATTGAAACCAGATTATTCAGGCTATATGTGTATAATGTGGAATTCCATTTTAAAATTCAGCCATTTGAAGGAAAAAAGGGACATCTGTATGTGCCTGGTGCCTTCATTGCCTAAAAATGCCTTTTTATTATTGCAATATTAATTTTTCCATTTGTTGATGAAGTGATGGAATTTAGAGTACTCAAGTAGGATACTTAAGTAGAATTACTTCATTTAAACATTTTATTCTCCAGTTTGATATAAAAATCCATTTAAATGATGGATAATTTTATCTCTTCTTATTCATGAAATTTAACTTGGAGAAGTATCCACTCCTGTCAATGTACCTTCCTTTTTTGAAGTATTTAAAGTCTGTATTTTTTTTTTCTGCAGCCTTTTTCCCATAAGGAAATAAACTGGAGACAATCAAATATTCTCTATTCACGAAAAGAGTTTAAGCTATTAGTGTAATGGTGAATAGATCTCTCTATCCCTGTACCTTTTCACTGCCCTTAACACAGTTATTTTTCTTGCTTTATACAGCTGCATAAATTTCTCCAGAATTAATTTTTGCCCTAGAATGTGGGTTTTCCTGCTGCTAGTAGTTTGGTATAGTGAGAAGCATGGTGCCCATGGGCTTTGGAGGTTGGATTATTGCTCCAACTTTAATTGATTTGTATGACTTTAGCCAACTTACTTAATTAACCCTTCTGTTTCTCAGTTTCATCCACTATAAAATGG